CCCCAAAACCCCAAAACCCCAAAACCCCAAAACCCCAAGATATCTATAAATTATTGGTATTTACATTTAATATTTTAAATATGCTCTCAAGGAATATTTTTAAAGCCTACAATGGAAATGTGATGCACAGAATCCCTTCCCGGACATTCTCCAAGCTGAATGAAGGTAGGTGATGAGAATAGCTTAAGGTGATTTATACCAGAAGGCAACCTGATTAGCAACCTTTGGGAGAATAATTGCTCTTATAGGAAACACCCTAAAATCAGGCTCGCTGTTTGAGAAAGTTGTGCACAAGTTAAGACATCAAGGGCCTGGCTACACGACTGCAATAACTTTGATGTTCGGAGTCTCATTTGCTTCACTATATTTTGGGAAATCTGTCAGCAATGAGCAGTATAGATGTGGTTTAGCAGGGATAACTTCAACACTTGTTGTTGAAGTTAGTACTCACTGAATTAGCACTCTTGATGTCCATGCGAAGACGACCAAAAACTTCAGTATAAAGTAATTTCAGACTTATCTTCCTTTATTAAAATAGAAATTTTAGGAAATTCGTAAACACAATATATAGGCAATTTCTGAAGTCAAACCCAGTAGAATCTCTGTTTAAAGGATTTCAGCCTATGATTTACGGCTACGTGGTGAGCTCTTTCTTCTATTACTCCTTGTACAAGGCTATTAAGGAAGGCATCAAGAGCTTCCTTAGGAAGTACGATTATGATGAGAAAAGTCTCACCTCTATAGCCATCATGAGTGCAGGCTCAAGCGCAGCTTGTGAAACTATTGCTATTATTTTCTATTATCCATTTGATCTGATTAAGGCCAGAATGCAGAGAAGCTCTGTGTATAACTACAAAAACACTACCGATGGATTCTACCAGATCTTTAAGGAACAGAAGGGTGGGCTGATATCCTCGCTTTATAAGGGAGCTGGGATCTTTACCTTCTCGTTCGGTCTCTACACTGTTTTTGAATTTATGTTTTACGAAACAATACTCGCAGCAATTACGAAGTACACAAAGGGAGAAGAGCAGGAGAGCTCAGAGGGACTCGAAGACTCTCATCATGCAAAGAAGAGGAACTTATTCCATATCCTGATCAGCTCTTTTATTGCGGGTGGCCTTTCAGCCACTCTGCTAAACCCTTTCGAGTATTGGCTTGCTAGGGCTCAGAATTCTGAGAAGAGTGTCAGACAGATTATATGGGAGACTAAGAGCATCAGGTCTCTCTGGAGAGGAGCACACTTCTCGATCGTATACTATGCCTGTACCGCTTCGTTCCTGTTCATAACACTTGAGAAGACATGTGAATTGCTTGATTGCTCGATAAGTGAGGCAGAATAAGAAATCTGTTGAATTATGTGACTATAAATTTTTATTCAATTTTGCAACCCGTTTTTGGGGTTTTGGGGTTTTGGGGTTTTGGGGTTTTGGGGTTTTGGGGTTTTGGGG